TCCAATGAATTTTATTTTTCAATTAATAATCAGACTATAACGTGAAAAAATATTCCTCCCTCTCATTCTGTTTCATATCATATTTCATCAAATGGAATTTCCAGAACAAAGACAAAAGGACAAAGGACTTGTCCAAGGAAGAGGTGTACTATTGCTTTGAGAGTTTTCAAAGCAGGACACACAGCTGTTGAGGTCTTTTCTAACATTTACCTCATTGTGTTCTGCTGCTCTTTTTAGTTGACAATGACAGGACCATTAACTATAGAATATTTTATATCTAGTGTGCTGGGACAAAGGCTCACCCTGACCTACGCATTCTAATCTTGTTTGTTTGTGTTTTTTTTCATTTTACTTCCTTTCTCTCAAATTTATAAATTCAACAGATACTTACTCAACACTTATCCAGTGAGCCAAGTCCTAAGGTTTAGAGAAACTCGCTCCCACTCTGAAAATACTAACAGCTGAGGATATCCAATGTATTTCTCTTTTGAGCCCGACCACCTGTTCACCATCTTCTCTTGGATTTCATATAGAAATCTCAAACTTAATATCTCTAAAGTAGAATTCTTGATTCTGCTATCAAACCCATTCTCCATCGAAATCAGTGGCACCCATTTTTAGTATGGTGTTCGGACAAGAAACCTAGAAGCTTTGCTTGACTCCTCCTTTCTCTTCACAACTCACCTTTATTCCATCCATCTGCAAAAACTGTTATGTTTATATCAACATGCTTTTGATTCAAGAATAAAATAAAGGCAAGAAAGGTAGTAAACAAGTTGGGAGGGATGGGAGTAGAGGAGTTTGGTTTGAGAAGTTGAGGGGGAAATATGTGCATTTAGGCCTTTCCATGCATTTGTTCACAAAATATGGCCCCTTTTATTATTAACTCCATTTTACAGATAAGGAAACAGGTTGAGCGAGGATAAACTGCTAGCCAAGGTCACATTATTTATAAATTGAGGAGGCTGACATCACACATGGCTCTGGGATTTCAGAGTCCAGGTGGTGATTCTCTACTTAGAGGATTGGGTTAGACTGATGCTAGCATTCAGGACCTGCTCCGGTATGGGGAAAGTTGTGTGACACAGGATCCTTGTAAACAGAGTAGCAGAGTTCATTTTCCTCTCTACTTTGTCAAATTCTAGAAGTATTTTCTTCTTTAATCCCTGGTGAGGAGATTCTTAACTCTGTATTATAAAAAGTATGTTTCTTTGAGCTTTTCCAAATGTAGCTGGTGTCTTTTGGCCAACAAAGAGACACCAGCTTCCCCCACCCCTTCAACAATAAACTCAGGAGTTAACTTGCTAAGAGCTTCTTTCTCCTTCCCATTACTAAATCTGACCGCCCAGGGAAATTTCTGTTACTGAGTCTATACTTTGAGTAATATTCTGCTGCTCTCTCCAATTCTCTTCTGGTATGGAGTCCTCTCCCCTTGGAATCCAGGCAGCAGCTATGGAAACCTATAGGGTTTCTTCTGAATCTGAACTTTCCACTGTAGCTAGCACAATCTGTATGGATCACTGTGGGATGAACCCACAATTAACCTTATTTTCCAGGCAGAATTTGGATGTAACCTCTGGGGCAGCATGGTTAACACACATGGTCTTTTGTTTCTATAGAAATGAAGACCTGAAATGTAACAGCCTCAGCTGGGCCAAGAACCAAAGGAAAACTTTAAAGTTCATATTATATCATTAGGCTTTTTTCTTTGATCCTTTCCTTTCTCCTCTCTCCTCCTCATCTCCCCACCACCAGCAGTTCTCAACAGGCTAAAGCAGATATTGGGTAGTGGAACAGCATCCTCCAAAAGAGGCTTTCCCATCTCTGGCCACACCATGGAAAGAACACTGACAAAGTGGTTTGGATTTGGGTTGGCTGTAACTTAACTGCAATTAAACTTGTAAGCACGCAGGAAGTGGTCATCCCAGAGCTGAAAGGTATGGAGAATTTTCATTTCTGCCACTGCAAACGGCTCAGCCACAGACATGGATAATGAAAGGGAAGTTGGCATTGACCTTGCAGCTTTTCGAGGAGCAGATGGGACCTGGAATATGGTTGGTATGAAAATGAACAGAGCTTCTTAGTATTTGAAGCGCCTTCAGGCTCTTCCTTCTGGCTCTGTGTGTGTGTGTGTGTGTGTGTGTGTGTGTGTGTTACTCTTCTCTCTTTGCTGAGCAAAATACTCAACACCCACAGTTGGAGGGAAAGAGGTTTATTTGGCTTACAGTTTGTAGAGGTTTCAATTCATAATTGGCTGGCTCCAAAGTAGGGTGGATGGTAGATAGGTGTCGAAGAGGAGAGAGAACATGGCACCCACACAGTACCAAAGGCAACAGAAGGCCTGAACTATGTTTTTCTGCCCCTTTTATCCCATTCAGACAACAGGCTTAGGGCACTGCTAAACCACTCACTCATATGTAGTGATTTAATAATCACATGCCCTTAATCCTGGCATCACACATTCCAGATTTAGCCATCTCTGACCAAATGAGGATTTGGGAGGGAATCCAGACCCAACCTAAACTATAACAGTGTGTGTGTGTGTGTGTGTGTGTGTGTGTGTGTGTCTGTCTGTCCCTCTGTCGGTGTTTGCATCTGATATGTTTGATATGCAGGAAAAAGATATCTTGTCAGTGCTAGAACCCCCTATCACACATTTGGCATTTGATTAACATGGAAAAGTACCATGGGCACCAATGGAATAGTGGCTCAGAGTACATGAAACTTTGCCATTGATAAGAGCAGTGGAGGAAAGAATTACTGTCACTACTTTCTCATCTCCAGGGAGCCCTTCTTCAAAAGAAGGAAGTCTCTCCAAAAGGAGTGATGTAAGAGGTGAGGAATAAAGTTGAAGTGGCTACATTTACAAAATGCACACACCCAAATTCATCAGAACGCACCCTTGTCCTTTTGATTTTCTTCCTGTTGTTTTCTTCCACCAGGAATGTTCTTCACATGCATTTCTTACTTGCTGAAGTTCTTCTCCACTGAATTTTCATCTCCTTCAAAAGAGCTGTTCTGTATTTGGTATAGGTCATACTTTCCTCTTGTAAATTTCATGACAGAAAGAAAGTTACACTCTTCACACATGGGCAATAAAGGATGAATCAGTGGGCTCTGAGTTCACATGTGTGGGTTTCTTTCATTCTGGAGCTGAGACTATGGTGAAAACTTCTCCAAGTCTCAGTTCCCTCACCTTAAACTTGAACAGTAGTGACTGAGCAGAATGACGGGCAGTATAATGAGGGATGATATATGAAAGAGACAAGCACATTATAGGTAACTCAGCCTATGAGGTTTCTCTTGCCCCACTGCTGGATCTGATTTATTTCTCTATTTTATTTTTACAGTTCTTGTCACATCTGAGGCAGGAAATAAATCTTGATTAAAGTAAATAGAATTAGTTTTTGCTATTTAAGTATTCCAGGGCATTCCATAAATATAATAATGCTAATAAAACAATAGCAAGATCTAGTGCAGAAAGGCTTATTCTTTGCATGCATTATCTTACCGTATCTTCATAAAAACTGTAAAGGGAAGTACAACTATTCCCGCTTTGTAGATGAGGACATTGAGGCCTCATAGCTGGTAGTGATGAAATGAAATCTCAAGCATAACCATAATAGTTAACCATCATTTAGATAGTGATTTTTTAGCTATGACTGCACAAAAGTATCACCAGGAGAGTTTTTAAAATGTCCATACCTAGACCCAACCTCAGATTTTGAGTTAGTTAGCTTAAAGTGTGGCCCAAGTATTGCTTTCAGAGATCTCAGATGATTACATGGGCAACCAGGGATGAGAACTTTTGACTCAAGGCAAGGCTCGAGTGCAGGTAGAGATCTGTGACTTAATACAGCTCATGCATCCCTGCTTCACCTTGCTTAGAGTAAGTAGCAACCCAAGATTCAATCTGGGCACAGATTGAAACTGCATGAAATTATTTAAATAAGAGAATTCTATTAATTGCCTCAGGAGATCTGTGTGCTGGCAATGGGTATAACTGATAAACTCCTGGTTCCCAATTACAACGCTTGAGAATGATTCAGCTGCATAGTCAGCTCTGCTTTCACGCAACAGCCACTCTGAGCAGGAGCAGGGCTGGGAAATCAGACATAAGGAAAACAAAGGAAGCTGTACTGTCCTGCAAGGTGTTCAGAGCCCATTAAAGAAGGAAGAAATGTATGCAGAGGTCTAAGGACCGATATAGTTAGTGTTGGGAAGGTATGTAGTATTTGCAAAACCCATAAAGGAACTAAAAACTGTTTCCTTCCATCCTCACCTTCTGACACTGTTTCTTTTACCTTTACTGTTGCCCAAAATGGGTTTATAGCCATTAGGGTCTTAGAGCCTAGGGGTCCCAGATAGTCCATAGAATTGCAGTTCTGGTTGTGGGCCCAAGTCTCCAAGGTCCCACCTTGGAGGGGTAGAAGAGCACCCAGAGAGACAGATTTCATTTATTTCAGGGGAGCGAAAGGCCAGGATGAGAAATAAATTTCTAGAGTGCTTGAAACATATGATGTGACTCTTGGGAAAGTCACTGTCCCCACACCTGGGTACTAAATGCAGAGGTTCAGAATTGAATGCTGTAACCCAAGCCTGTATGTACATTATCCAAAAAGGTAGATATGAATGAACAGCCACTGCAGAAAAAAGAGCACAGAGGCTTTTTTTCATTGATTCATGCTGCAACCCCCGTGGGCTTCAAGAAGCAAATGTGGCCTGGGGAAGAGATAAAGCCAAAAGCAGGAAGCAGAACAAGCAGAAAAGAAGCCAAATGCTGAGAGAAAAGTGGAGCCAAAGACTTTTGCCAAGAGTTTGGACTGCAGTGTCCAAAGCTCATTTTGATCATCATCAGCTCTGTCAGATCTGAATGGAGCAGTCCAAGCACAGGAGACAGCAGGAGCTTGGATGAGCTCCCTAACAGAGTGGAGGATAGAATGCCAAACTATTTTTGCCATCAGAGGTCCAAGCTTCACCAGTATCACTGCTGTCTCTCTGGGGGTGTAGCTCAGTGTAGAGCATGTGCTTCACATGCATGAGGCCCTGGGTTCAATCCCCAGCACCTCCATGTGTCTTTTTTACCGTTTAAACTCAGTAGGGTCAGCTTCTCTCCACCAGCCTGCTTTAGTACAACAAAGCCAGGATCCAACTTCAGTAAAAGTAATTAAACTGAATGCTAAGTTAGTAATGTTTCATCAACTGTGAATAAGTTGTTCTTTTTGGTTGGTCTGACTAAATATTATGGCTGTATGAAGCCTCTAGAGTGGGAGGAATCAAGGTCCCTGAAATGGAAATAAATTAATTCTAAATATTATGTTATGAAAGGAAAAGAAAATGACCAACAGAAAGGATTACCTCTGTCTAACTTAGAACCTGAAAATGGAAACTGGGTGCATCTGGTGGACCTGACCTGAGCGCAGAGAGAAAGGACCAACTCTTCCTTGCACATTCTAGACGTAGCACTCTTTGCGAGTTACACTGTTTAAATGCATGCACAAGATTAAACTATCTGAAGTCCTAAACTCTAGCTAGTTTTCTTGTATTTTTTGATGATACTAATGTGTTTCTGGGCTCCATCACATGCAACTTCTTTTGGATCTCTACAATGTTCATGTAGGACACATTCGGGTCCCCAGAGAGACTCCAACAGGTCATGATTTGTCTACAGTCAAAAAGCCATAAATAGATTCATTCATAGGAAAATGGATACATATTGAAGATATACTCCTAAGTGAAATAAATAAGTCACACATGTGTAAATACCGAATAGTGTCCCTGGTGTGAATAATCTGCAACAAGGCATAAGATTCTAATAAGATTACTGACATTTAGAAATGGGAAGAAAGGAGCTAAAGGTGTAGGGAAGGTGGGATGGGTAGGGGAAGAGTAAAAAGGGGAAAGAAAAAAATGTGAGAGAATGAAAAGATGAAAATAAAGTGTTTGTAGATGGGGAGGGGAGGAGGGGGTGAAGGGAGGGCGGTAAGGGGAAAAAATGAGAATCAAGACTTGCCATGTAGAGGTACATGATCCCAACAATGAATGTAACTGTACTGTATCCCTAAAATGTACCAATAAACTCAATTAAAGCTGAAAAAAAAAAAAACCAAAAAGCCAGACTGAGGTATCTGATCTCTGATTTCATATTCCAATTTTCCTTTCACTATTATGATCATTTCAGTGGGCTTGTTAGCTGCAGAATCCATGCCTTGATTTCTGCAGTGGCTGGTATAAGAAGTGCTGACTAGGCCGATGACAATTTGGTTAGGAAATGCTACTATGTAGATCGGTTACTTTTGACAGCACCATGCTTTCTCGCTCCAAGGAAGCCTATTTCTGATCATCGGTGGTTTGGAATGAGTAGAATCACATTTGTGAAGGCTGCCTGAGTAGCCATGCTGGTGTAAATTCAAAAGTGGCTCTGTGCTGTGGTGTGAGTTTGGTTATTCTCTAGGCAATCTAGAGAACCAGGCTAACATGAGATTGCAACTAGTAGACTTTTGCTTGAATCTCAGCTCTGCTGCTTTAGAGTTATGCAATGCTGAGCAAGTCATCCAACTTCTCCAAATCTTGCTTGCCTTAACTATAAAGTCTAGGTAAAAATTTTAATGCTAGTGTGCCAGAAAGGTGTATATATGTTTTGTTCTGTTTTGTTTTGTTTTTAAGTGAGACCAGTATGTGAAGACTTCTAAGGCAGACACTAAAGCCAGGTGTCATTCAGAATTAGAATCCTGACCAAGCTTGTTCAAGTTACTCAATGTCTCTAGGTACTCAAGTCTAAAGCAGAGGTAATAGCACATGTTCAGAATCACAGACTTAAAGTCTTTGGATTGGAATGTGTCTGAGAGTTCAGACTTTTCAAACTTTTATAAAGCGAAGAGTGTATTTTTACCTAATGTATAAAACCCTTAGAAGGCTCTGGGGCAATGTCCTATAATAATATACATTAATTATTTCTGCATCAATAAGTGGGATAAAGAAACATCATGTATACATTCATGGTAGGGTCATATTTAGTTTTGCTGCCACAGGAGTTTTGGCACTAAATTTACCAAAAATTTACAATTTTCTGAGCTTTTGGATTGTGGGCTTGTAGATAAAGAATTGTAGACTTGGGTGAGGATAGAATAGGTCAATATGTACAAAAGCTTTAAATCACTATTGGCGAACCTTTTAGAAACCAGTGCCCAAACTGCATCACAAAACCTACTTATTTACCACAAAAGCGTTAATATCACAATTAAACCTGAGTACTGAGGTTTTACTTTAGAATTAAAAAAAAAAAACTTATACATTGTCTTAAAAGCAAAACAAATAGGGCCAGGGATTTAGCTCAGTGGATCCGGCCACTTTCCTTGCAATCTTAAGGTCCTGAGTTTGATTCCCCAGTACCAAAAAAAAAAAAGCAAAACAAATACACATACCATAACTTTGCCACCACAGCCTTAGCCCAATGCCTGGCCTATAAAGAACACTGAATAAATGGTAGCTATTATTACTTTTATTACCTTGAAGAACAAAACCAAAACAGAATGAGGCTTCAGAGGTCCTCTATGACATTTCTCAGTTTTCTATTAATGAATTAATAGATTTGCTATAGACTTAATATCCTGTTTGTCTGCTGAGAAAATACATTTCTGGGTGTTGGTTATAGTCAGCATTTAAAGGAACAGTGTTATGCATTGAGGGAATGGAAGTGTATATGTGCATCAGAGAGAGAAAGAAAAGGAGACAGGGAGGGAGGGACAGAGGGAGAGAGAGATTCCAGACATCATATTTTATGCATCACAGCAAAATACAAAATGATAACAGGTTGTAAATATGAAGTATTTTTTCTCTTGTATTTTCTAAATTTTATCATTTGAGTTCAAATTACTCTTACAATGAGAAAAAAAAGTGCATACTCTTAAATTCTCCTTGGTTTCTTCCTCCTTGGAGAATTGGTGCCCAGATTTAGGCTCTCACTTATAAGAAAACCATCAAGCAAGAAGCTTGTATTGATTGCCTACCATATACCAGACACTGCTGCTAGTGCTAAGAAATAAAAGAAAAAGCAGGAGAAAAATTGTAGAAACTTCTTCAGCAAAGCTACTACCATTTGTCTAACAACTTATCTTTCACACTAAGCTTCAATATAAATTCCCCAATTGGTCTTTCTCTGTAGGTTCAGGAGAGTCTATATTTTGATAAGCATTTTAAGAATGAAGAATGTTGAACCAGGCATGGTGTAATGTGCCTGTAATCCCAGCACTCAGGAGGCTGAGGCAGAAAGATCACCACTAGTTTGAGGCTAGCCTCAACTAACTAGAAAGAGCCTCTCTCAAAATACGTACATACAGACATACATACAAATGAAGAACATTGCACATGGTCACTCAGTATGTTAAGGACACAGCTGGACTCAAACTTCTGAATTGTATGAGTGGTGTAACAAGAAGAAAGCTCTTTTCATAGGAACTTGGACATCAGTGACACTTTGATAAGACAATACAGTCAGTCCTCAATAACCATGGGTCTACATGCATGAATTCAACCATGAATCAAAAATATTCAGGGAAAAAGTAAATCTGTATTGAACATATACAGACATTTTTCTTATCATTATTCCCTAAACAATATTGTATAGGAACTATTTATATAACATATACATGTTATTAGGTATTACAAATAATCTAGAGATGACTTTAAGCATGTGGGAGGGTGTACATAAGTCATAACAAATATTATCTCGTTTTACATGAGGGACTTGAGTGTCAGCAGATTTTAGTACATGCGGGGTGTCCTGGAACCAATTTCTGTGGCTATCTTTGATATCTATATTAGGAAATCAAGTCATAAATGACTGTGACCAACTATAAGTAAAATTTGCACCATGGCAACAAATGGTAGTGGAAGTTAAAATTTGGGGGAGGAGCAAATGAGATAATTTCAAAGAATCCTCAAAATAGTCCAGTTTTCTAAATCTGGTCATTGACAGATCTGAGGAAGAAAGGATTCAACTAAAGACAGATGTTTGGAAGGGAGGAGGAAGGAAAGGATGCGGTCATTATATAGTCAGCACAATCAAAGGGGCGTAGCTGGGCCATAGGTACCATCTCAGGTTAGGAACATCAATACAAAGCCTTTGTGTTCAGAGTTGACATCTAGGTTATTTTTGACTTCCCAAAGAACTGTGGTATAGGCTGATATGTTCCTAGCAACAACCTTAGCTGCCTGAATTTTCTGATGCATGTTGTTTGGAGTTTGCTTCTTGTGACATTTGTTAGAAGTTGGTCCTTAAGTAGTTGACCAGAATTAAAAGTATTGAAACAAACTTGGGAATCAACAAAGCAACAGATCAGTCCATAAATCAAGCAGTCTACTTTAGACCCTGTCAAAGCGCCCTACCCACCTTCTTTTAGACATTTTGACTTCTCCTTCCTCTGATCACCCAGTATCCAAGTCAGTGGCTCCATCTGTTTCTTCCAAAGATCTCTTCTAATCTCACACAGCCCTTTCTGGGCAAAAGGGGCTGAGCCTGCCTGCCCTTGTTAAAAGGAAGGGAATCATTCAGCATTTTGTTCTGCATTCTTCTACCCCAGATAACCCTCTCTAATTCGAGGTTGGCTGAAAATCTGGAAATCCTTATTCTTATCAGGAGAATTTCCACTGCTAAAGGGGAGGGCAAAGTAGGCCACATCCTGTGTTCTGGGAGAGGCTCAAAGAGTCAATTGCAATGCTTTGGACTCAAACAAAGTAAGGGACTTTCTTAAGTGGATTCAAAATACAGGCTGAGACAAAAGTCACACTGTAATTTTTGCTGTTCCTTTCTCCTTTGCTTGCAAAAGTCCTATTGCCATAGGCTCCAAAGTGGATAAATTTTCTATTTGTAAAGTTCTTCCCATGGACTATCAAAATTCACTGCCTGGCTCCTGACTTGAAAGTCTTTGGAGTCTCAGGTGATCAAACTAATACTTGATAGACCTGGAGTCCTGTGTGCCTGTATAACACAGCCGTGGGGGCCTAGGAGATACTTGCTTGTGTTTCACAATGTATAGAGGTAGACTGCACTCGGGGGATGTGTTCGTTCTA